TGTGGTTAGTTACATTGTTGCTGACATGCACTGTGTGGTTAGTTACATTGTTGCTAATGGGCAGTTCACTTCTTTTCCAGATGCAGCTGCAGAGCGTGAGGACAGCGGTCCTCCAGGAGGAGGAGGTCCTCCGGGGGGGGGCGGGGCTGGGACCCAGGCCTCTGGCCGCTCACGTTAGCTGCTCAGAGAGCCCTCCCCTGCCCCCCTGCCATGAGGGCGGTCCCCCTGGAGCAGGGGGAACTGGCCTTCCGCAGGGCACAGAGAGCCCGGCCCCAAACTGGCCGCTGCCCCAAGGGGAGAGCCTGAATGAGGACGGCTTCCTTTTCGAATTCAGGTGCCTGTGTGTGCCCCCCCCCCCCCCCCCCGGTAACCTCAAGCCCCTCCTGGCAGGCAGACTCGTCCGGCTGAGGCCGTTATGCAATTTTTGACCCGAGGACGGAGCCGTGGACGCCGGGTCCGGGTCAGGCCCTTCGGTCTTGCCTCCCGGGAGCGGCTGGAGACCCCCTGGCTCCTGTGAAGCAGCGACCCCGCCAGGCTGCTGGCTGAGCTGACCTGCAGGGGCTGTGCCCGTGGGGACCCTGACCTGGGGAATGTCCCGGGGCCCGGCCGGCGTGGCTCAGAGCTGGAGGGTCAACCCATGACCCAGGAGGTCACGTGACGGCGCTGTCCTCCCGGAGCGGTCCGCCCGGACACGGGGAAGAGCGAGCTTCGGGCGGGAGCCTGACCCGTGGGCACCCTCCTCCCGCAGGCCGGCCACCCCCGCTCCGTCCGCGTCCCAGGAGGAGGCTGTCCACCTGCTTTTCTACTCCGTGTGGAGAGTGACCAGTGTCTCCTGGGACAACCTGCAGTGGATCATAGCCCTGATGGTTATCAAAGCCAGGGGTGCATGCCCTTGGCGAATGGCCGTCAGTGAGTGCAGGGCCGGGGGGGGGGGGCGGACACGAAGGCCTCTGTCCACAGGGCCTCACGGGAGCTGCCACCGCGGGAGGGCTGGGAGCTGAGTGAGACACGGCCTCCGGACAGACGTGTGCGGGCACACGTGTCCTGTCAGCAGCACGGGCTCCTCCTGCGGGGCCGTGGGTGCGGCCTGGAGGGCGCCCTGCCCAAGGGGTGTGCCCTGTGCCCCTGGGTAGGCTGCTCCTGTCTGATCGCAGGGACGGGGGAGGGGGGCTCGGACCCAGGCCTCTGGCTGCTCATGTTAGCTGCTCAGAGAGCAGCCCCTGCCCCCCACTCCCACCCCGGGCCCCAGTCTGTGCAGGAGAAGCTGCCCCTTGTCTCCCACACCTGCCCTGGGCACACCCCTCCCATCTGGGGCCAGAGTGTGGCAATGGGGGAGGTTTGGCCGCTTCCCGTGGCCCCTGGGAGGCCGAGTGAGTTGCTCCCTCTAGTCTGGGAGCAGGAGGGTGCCCAGGTGACCCCAACCTCGGGCCGGGACCCTGACCACGGGCTGGGCCCCCGACATCGGGCTGGAACCCGGACCAGCATTTGAATCCATGGCTGTGGCACGGGCCCTAAATCCTCAGAGGAGCCCCCAGCGACCTCCGAGCCCAGCACTGTGGGCAGCCTCACTCACCAAACCTCCCGTCCTACAGGGGGCGCCGTCGGGCTTTTTCTACTGGCAGGGATGTGTTGGAGGGCATTTTAAGTCTGTCCCTCAGAGGGTCAAGGAGCTGATGCCCACTGAGCAGGAGCAGCTACGCAGCCAGGTCATGGCCATGGCCATCAAGCCCCTGACAAGCAGGCCATGGCCAGCAAAGCCGAGCAGAGCAGGAGAAGCTGCTGGGGCTGACCATGGGCTTTGTCACCAAGAAGCTGGAGACCGTCCCGGCTTCGATTCCGGTCAAGGGCATGTACCTCGTCTGTGGGGACATCCCCAGTGGGCAGTGTGCAGGAGGCCCTTGATCAGGGATTCTAACTATCCCTCTGCCTTCTACTCTGTTAAAAAAATAAAATAAAATAAAATAAAATGGAATTAAAAACAAAAGAAGCAGCTGGGGACCGAATTGAGGTGCGGAGACCAGGCTCGGCAGGGTGGGTGAGCACCGGACTCGGGGTGTGCCGGGTGCTGGTCCCGTCTGGAAAGGGAGAGGGTTAGAGAGTAAAACGGGGCAGAGACACTTCCTGTGCTGAGCAGATCCCTGCAGGCAGCCTGCAGCCTTGAGGCCCGCCCAGCCCAGGTCACCAGAGGTCACTCCACCATCATCGCGGGCGCCCAGGGCACCCGGGAGGGACCACACTGCCCGCCCACCTCCGGCCCCTCCGTGCCCAGAGGCAGAGCCTTAGAGGAGGCCTCACTGGGAGGCGAGGGGAGTGGGGAGTCAGCTGGGAGGATGGGGACATGGGGAGCATCCTGGGGTCAGAACAAGGGTCACGTGAGCTCCCTCCTACGTGGCATCTAAGGGACAAAATAAACGGATGTCCGGTGGGCGTGGCTGAGCATCCACCTGTGGTCCAGGAGGCCACAGGGTGTTTCTGGGTCAGCACTGGGGGTCCCCTCGGGCCAGCGGGAAGCGGGGGCTGGGCACCACCCCACAAGGGGCTCAGCCTAGTCCCTGAGCGCTGGCCTCCCGTCCGCAGCCTCCGTGTGCTGCATGCAGACCTCGCTGCTGCCCCGACAGCCCTGCCGGGGCCTTCGCTGAGCCTGCCGGCGCCCTGGCCACCAGCCGACACCACCCCACGGCCTTTCGGCTGAGCTGGGGCCCTGGGCGGGCAGCAGCGGCCCTGGGGGAGCTCAGGGAGCAGCTGAGACACGCCAGCCAGTGACCTGGTGCCCACAGTGAGGCCCAGGGTGCCGCCTGGCAGGGGGGGCGTGAGGGTGGGCTCATAGGTGGGATGGTGTCTGCGGCTGCCCCTGCCCCGACCTCGCAGGTCAGCAGGACAAACACCAAGTGCTGAGAGGCCCGGGGGCGGGCCCAGTGGTTAGGCGTCATCCTAGGATCCAGGAAGTCACGGTTCGATCCCTGGTCAGGCCACAGGCCCGGGTTGTGGGCTGGATCCCCACTGTGGGGCATGCAGGAGGCAGCCGATCCGTGATTCCATCATTATGTTTCTACTCTCTCCCTTCCACTCTGGAATCAATAAAAAGATATTTATCCTGGGGAAACCGGTTTGGCTCAGTGGTAGAGCGTTGGTCTGCGGACTGAAAGGTCCCAGGTTCGATTCTGGTCAAGGGCATGTGTGTTGGCTGTGGGGGGTGTGCAAGAGGCAGCTGGTCGATGTTTCTGGCTCTCTATCTCTCTCCCTTCCTCTCTGTAAAAAATCAATAAAATATATATTTTAAAAAAAAGATATTTAAACACTAAAAACACTGCCACTTCTGAACCCAACAGCTTCACTTGGAGGGCTCTCCCTGAAGACTGTCTGTCAGGAGCCAGAACACAAGTGGAACATGAACAAAAAGCCCGAGTGACGTGTGTGATGCTGAGACCGTCCGGAGGCAGCCGCTGGGCGGGGCCCCTGAGCCCAGGACGGTCACTGCTGCCACACACGTGGGCGGAACTCCCAGCTACAGCCCAGGCTCATCCGGGGAAGGGTTCAAAGTGCCTAACAGCAAGGATGCAAACAGGATAGAAACACACACGCACACACACACGCACACACACACACGCACGCACACACACACGTGCGCACGCACACGCACACACGGCATGGCAAGGTGTGCACACAGTATACCACGTGTCATGTTGCGTGCTGGAATTCGTGGCGCTTTATTACGTACACTCGTCCGCGCTTACCCGTCTTCGGCAATCGCTGCCAAATGAAGGGAAAGGAATCCTTTGCAAAGATCACGGTTAAACCGTTAACCGAATGGATGCACATGACATTGATTGACAAGAGGGGCGGGGCAGGGGCAGCCGAGGGGAAGGCCTCTTAGGCTGGTACCTGGTTGAGGTTTTTACAAGGAAATGAGCCCAGGGGCTGAGCACACCTGAGGGAGCCGGGCAAGTACCTTCAGCCCCGAGGGGGGCTCTGGGGCCCAAAGCCACTGCCCCCTCCCAGGACTGGGCTGGTCCTGGGCGACAGCTCAGCACTGGGTGGTCCTCCAGCCCCAGGGTCAGGGGTGGGTCCTCCAGCCCCAGGGTCAGGGGTGGGGCCGTCTCCTCCCCATGCTCTTTCCCGGGGAAAGGCAGGCCGGCCAAGGAGAGGGGACCTTTGGTGGTGTGGGACCTCTGACTCCTGTGCCCCTGTGCCCTGGCAGCTGGAGGGCAATGTCTCTGAGACCAAGGGCTCCGTCCTTCCTGACTCACCAGGTTCCATCCACCCAGTTTTCTGACATCCTGGGCAGGAGGGCACCCCCTCCCTGGAGGCACAGGGAGGCGGAGCAGCGCCCCCTGGAGGCACGGGGAGGCGAAGCAGCCTGGAAAGGCGGCCTCAGGCAGGCAATCCCAGCTTCCTTCCACGCTGACAGCCCCAGGCCCTGCCTTCCCTTGGTCCCTGGCGGTGGGTGAGCCATCCTTTCAGGAACCCGAGGGGTAAAAACTGGTCAGAACCCTGTGGGGCCACGGACGGGCCGTGCGGTTCGGGAGGCAGGACAGTGTGGGCCTTTGGGGCGGTCGCTGCTCAGAGGTCGTCCTGACCCCCCAGGCCACCAGGAGCACAGCTCTCCCGCCACAGGGCTCCTCCCCAGACCCCGCGGGGGTGAGGCCGGCTGCTGGGCCGGTGCCCCTGGCGCCCCCACACCCCCCTGGAGGCCCCCGGAAGGGACTCGGGGAACAGGGGGTGGTCTCAGGGGCCGCGTGATTCCAGCAGTGCCGGCGGCCAGGCCCCGAAGCCTGGGCCCCGAGGGGTCCGTCTTGCCGGGGGGCCCGGCCAGAGTCACCTCCACAGCCGAGCGGCCGCCCCCTCCGCCCTGCGGGTCAGGAGCGCGGACGCAGAGCCTGTCCCCGCGGCGGCCACAGGCCTCTGCTCGGCAGCTCCCCGCGGCGTCGTCGTCAGCATCTCCAGACCATCAGGACCAGCAGGGCCGAGGGGAGCCCCGAGGCAGGAGCCCCCCCTAGTGCCTAGTCTCCGTACTGCACCTCGGCCTGCAGCTCCTTGGTGATGTAGCCCACGAGCAGCGCCAGCAGCTGCTCCTGCAGCGCCTGGCTGCCCATGACCAGCATGGTGAGCTGCACGGCGTCCGTCCACTCCAGGTGCCTGACGATGGCCGTGACCTGGCTGAGCAGCTTCTCCTGCTCGGCCGGCGGCAGCTCCATGAGGATCTGGGGGACCGGCTTAAACTGCCCGCTGGTCATCCAGGCCCCGAGGAGCCCCCCGACGGCGCCCCCTGGGGGACAGAACGTTCCGGTTAGGGGGGCTGTTCACAGGGCCGGCCTCGGGGCTCCTGGGAGCTGTCACAGGATTTAGGTGACAGCCCATGACTCAGCCCATAGCCCACTGTTCAGGCCAAGCCCGTGGTCCGGGTCCCAGCCCGTGGTCGGGGTCCCGGCCCGAGGTTGGGGTCACCCGGGCACCCTCCTGCTCCCAGACTAGAGGGAGCAACTCACTCGGCCTCCCAGGGGCCACGGGAAGCGGCCAAACCTCCCCCATTGCCACACTCTGGCCCCCAGATGAGAGGGCTGTGCCCAGGGCAGGTGCATTGTGGGAGACGAGGGGCAGCTTCTCCTGCACAGGCTGGGGCCCGGGGTGGGAGTGGGGGGCAGGGGAGGGCTCTCTGAGCAGCTAATGTGAGCGGCCAGAGGCCTGGGTCCGAGCCCCCCTCCCCCGTCCCTGCGATCAGACAGGAGCAGCCTACCCAGGGGCACAGGGCACACCCCTTGGGCAGGGCGCCCTCCAGGCCGCACCCACGGCCCCGCAGGAGGAGCGTGCGCTGCTGACGGGACACGTGTGTGCCCGCACCCGTCTGTCCGGAGGCCGTGTCTCACTCAGCTCCCAGCCCTCCCAGCTCCCGTGAGGCCCTGTGGACAGAGGCCTTCGTGTCCGTCTCCCCCCCCCCCCCCCCCCCGCCCCCGGCCCTGCACTCACCGACGGCCAGGCCTGGCGGGCCCCCGACCAGGCCCCCGACAAAGGCCACGGCGCCAGTGAGCAGGGCGCCCCGCCCTGCGTGCTTGACGGCTGCCTTCATCTTCCTGGCCTCCGAGAGGGAGCACAGCAGCCGCATGGCCTCGTCCACCATCAGGGGCATGGCGCGCCCGCCGCCGCCGGACGGAGGGTGCCCACGGGTCAGCGCTCCCGCCCGAAGCTCGCTCTTCGCCGCGTCCAGGGCGGACGCTCTGGGAGGACGGCACCGTCACGTGACCAGCCTCCGTCACCGAGAAAGCGGCGGCCGGAGTCAGTGAGCAAACAGGCCCGGCCCGGCGGCTCAGGGCTGAGCGTGGACCTAGGAACCAGGAGGTCAGGGTTCGATTCCCCGTCAGGGCACAGGCCCGGGGTGCGGGCTGCATCCCCAGTGAAGGGGGCAGCCGGTCCGTGATTCTCTCATCACTGATGTTTCTCTTGCTCCCTCCCTCCTTCTCCTTTCCTCTCTGAAGTCAAGAGGGAAAAAAACAACAGCCGGGAAAGACAACCTGCCTCCACTCGCGGGCCGGCCGCGGCAGGAAGGCGCACCAGCCAGAGGAGAAAGATTCCCACAGTCCGGGACCCGGGCACACGGCCCCTACGGAGCAGGCCTGGCCTTTGGACCGGGTGACAGGCCTCTGGGTCAGGAGGCTGTTGGCCCAGCTGGCAGGGCAGGGCGGGGTAGGGCGGGGCGGGGTGGGCTCTGGGAAATAAAACCAAAGCTGAGCTATTTCCAGCTGGAGCTGAGGCCAAGCCCAGCGGGCACCTCCCTCCCTCCCCCTCCTGGGGGCCCTTCCTCCCCTTCCCCCTCCCCCTCCCCTTCCCCTTTTCCCCTCCCCCTGCCCCTCTCCGGGGCTGACTCATGCTGACAGCTGCCAAGGCGGCCAGAGGGCACAGGGCAGCCTCCAGCTCCCTGTCTGTGGGTCGATGACGGTTTCTGAACCCGGGAATGCGGACCCGTCTCCAATGTGCGACTGTCCTCCGGTCCCGGGGAAAACAGGGAGTCCTCAGATCAAATCCAGACCTGCCCCCCACCCCCCCCCCCCGCCAGGCAGGGTTTCGGAACTTCTCGCAGGCCCAGGAGAGCCGGGTCCCTGTGCCAGTGCCTGGGGCCTTCTGTATGTTTCATATTCATGTACTTTCCATCGGTGTCCAAGGGGAAGGGGAGGGAGCCAGAGGGACCCCCTGAGAGAATCATGGACCAGCCGCCTCCTGCACGCCCCCACCGGGCCCCATCCCACAGCCGGGCCTGTGCCCCGACAGGAATGGACCCGTGATCTCCAGCTGGAGCCACGCCGGCCGGGCCCCGGGACATTCCCCAGGTCAGGGTCCCCACGGGCACAGCCCCTGCAGGTCAGCTCAGCCAGCAGCCTGGCGGGGGACGCTGCTTCACAGGAGCCAGGGGGTCTCCAGCCGCTCCCGGGAGGCAAGACCGAAGGGCCTGACCCGGACCCGGCGTCCACGGCTCCGTCCTCGGGTCAGAAATTGCAAAACGGCCTCAGCCGGACGAGTCTGCCTGCCAGGAGGGGTTTGAGGCAGCGGAGGGGGGCCCTGGGGCTGGCCATTAGCTGGGGAGAGGGGTCCTGGACCCCCAAACCCTTCCGACTCCCCTGGGGCCCAGAGAGCTGTGTGCGGAGAGAGCAGAAAGCAGTCTGTCCTGGCGGAGGACCAGGGGCTGGAAATGGAACCGGGGTCTGGGGCCAGTGCCCGGGGCCAGCGACAGCATGCCCTCCGGCTCCGAGACGCCCCGGCCCTGTCCCTCATCGCAGCACCCTCTGGGGTTCTGCCAGCGCTGGGACCCCCTGAGAGCCTGGTGCTCCCCGTGAACGGCCGTTCCTTCTAGGGGGACGGCTGCTGGCGTGTACAGGGGGGTGGCCAGGCCCTCGGAGCCCGTGTCTGGAAAGCCAGGAGGGAAGGCCGCAGGGATCTGCCTTCCCCGAAACCCGGGCCGCAGCTGAGCTGCCCTTCCAGCCCTCTTTTTAAAAAATATTTTATTGATTTCTTACAGAGAGGAAGGGAGAGGGATAGAGAGAAACATCGATGAGAGAGAAGCATCCATCAGCCACCTCCTGCACACGCCCTCCTGGGGATGTGCCCACAACCACGGCACATGCCCTTGACCGGAATCAAACCCGGGCCCTTCAGGCCGCAGGCCAGCGCTCTAACCACTGAGCCACACCGGCTTCGGCCCGGCTCTCAAGAAGCCACCAGGCCCAGCCCCACCGCACCCTCCTCCGGCGCTGACAGACCTCGGGGTCCCCCTCCCGGGTCCCCCCACCTCCTGGGGGCCCCGCCGCGAGGCAGACCGGGCCGCGCCGGTTCGCAGGTGCCGCCGGGACCCCGCGCCCCGCCCTCGCACCCGGGGCCGGGCAGGGACCAGGTACCTGGGCTGCGGCAGGAAGAGGCGCGGGTCCCCCGGGAGGTCACAGCCGCCTCCCCGGCGCGTGCGGCGCGTGACGGGGTGGCGCCGGGTCCGGCGGGGCCGGGTGCGGCGGGTCAGCCGCCCGCCCGGCGCTTCCGCTTCCTCCGGCGCCGCCCGCCGGCCCCTCCCGCCGGAGCCGGAGCCGCCACCGCCGCCTCCCGGACCGGGGTCACCCCGGCCGAGCGCTCCGCGCAGGCCCCGCCCCCGCCCTCCCTCTTCCGCTCGGGGCGCGGGACCTTCCGGTCGCCCCGGAGCGCGGAGCTGCGGGACCCGGTCCTCAGCCGCAGCCGCCGCAGCCGCCGCAGTCGCCGCAGTCGGGTCCCTGGTCGCCGGCCTCCCGGGAGGAACCCCTGCCCTCCGACCCGGCCCGGCCCCCGTCCGCTGTGAGGCCCCAGGGCCCCCTGCCCCTCTCCCCGACCCGCCCCACACGGCGCCCCTGTCCCCCTGGGCCTCGGGCCTCGGGCCCAGGCACCACCTCCTCCCGCCCCGCGCACAGGGCCTGGGAGGGGGGAAGGGGCTATGGCAGCGTTTGGTGACTTCCAGGCCCGAGCCTGAGGCCAGGGCCTGGGGGCCTGGGGGCGTCAAAGGCCAAGGGCGGCTTCGCTCCTGGGCCCCAGGACCAGGTGATGGCGGGGAGCCCGGAGCAGGCAAGGGGCCTGAGGGTTGTGGGGTGACAGGGCCCCCAGATCCCCGAGTCCCCAAATGGAGATCGCTCGTCATACCAGCACCCCTCAGCGCTGAGTGAACAGCGGTCACATCGTTCCCTCAGGGAATCCTGGCAGGAAAACCAGTCTGCACCTGCTCGGTTGGGGCTGGTTTAGGTTCAACTACACAGTACATGTCAGCAACCATGTAACAACTACACAGTGCACGTCAGCAACAAGGTAACTAACCACACAATAATGTTAGCAACAATGTAACAACAACAATGTGACAACAGTGTAACAACTAACCACACATGACTTGCCCTTTGAGCACCTTTCCCATCGCAGTGTTACGTGGCCTGTGCTGGGTGCTGGGAGGTGTAGGCCCACACACACCCCCCGTGCTGCAGTGGCTGCGGGTCACACCCTGACACGCCGGGCAGGCGCGTGGCCCGGGAGCCACAGTGCACTCCGGGCGTGTGCACACCACAGAGCTGCCCGGCCACGCGTGTCCGGAGTGCGTGCCCACGTCAGTGACGCCGGCTGCACAGCTGTGCAATCTCCACTGCGTTCTGGAGCTGCCATCAGCACACAACAGGCTCGGTTTCTCTGCGGGCAGCGCCCCCTGGCGGCCCATGAAGTCACCGCGGCTCACCCCTTCCCTGGAGACTGGGGAGAGGGAGGAGAGGGGGAGGAACCAGGAGGGGAAGAGGCTTCTAGGTGGTTCTGGGGGAGGGGAGGGGAGGAAAGGGGAAGGGGGGAGGGAGGGGAGGGGGAGGGAGCGGTGAGGTCACGCACATCTGCCGCCCTCAGGTCTGAGGCCACGGAACGCTGTGACACGGGACCGCCCTCCCCGTGGCGGGGCCTCCCACGTGGGGTCCCCACCACAGCCATGCTCAGCCCTGAGGCCTGCCCGGGCCTCACTCCGGTTCCGGCCTCCGGCTCCTCATTGGGGAAAGGGCCGGATGGTGCTGGTGCCCTGGGGCTGCCCCGGAGGCCCCAGGAGGCCCAGTGGAGGGTCCAGATGGTTCTGGTTGTCCTGTCGGGTGTGGCTCAGTGGATAGAGCCTCCACCTGTGGACTGAAGGTCCGGGTTCGATTCCGGTCAAGGGCACGTACCTCAGTGGCAGGATCGATCCCGGCCCTGGTCAGGGCGAAGGCAGGAGACAACCAGCCCATGTGTCTCTCGCACATCGATGTTTCTCCCTCTCTCCCTCTCCCTTCCTCTCTGAAATCAATCGTATTTGTCCTGGAGGCCCCATGCACGATATTCGTGCCAGAGCAGCCTTCCTCCCCCGGCTGCCAGCACCGGCTTCCCTCTGGCCCCCGGGACCCGGCTTCCCTCCCAGCCCGGCTCCCAGGAAGGTCGTCCGGTCTAATGAGCATGTCACACTTTTATTATTACAGATTGTTATTACAGATAATCTGCTGCTAGGTTGGAGATGGTAAATAAAGTGTGGGGCCCGGAGGGGTCTCAGGCGGCCCGAGGGCCCGCGCGGCCAGGCTGCCGGGAAAGAAACTGTTCGTAAAAGCCTGCGGGTCCCGCCGAAACCCGTGTGGCTCAGTGGGTAGAGCGTCGGCCTGCGGACTGAAAGGTCCCGGGTTCAATTCCGGTCAGGGGCATGCACCTTGGTTGTGGGCACATCCCCAGTAGGGGGCGTGCAAGAGGCAGCTGATCAATGTTTCTCTCTCATCGATGTTTCTAGCTCTCTATTCCTCTCCCTTCCTCTCTGTAATCAGCTTAACAATAACCCATACCCTTCGGACCAACTTCCCTTCCTCTCTGTAAAAAATCAATAAAATATATATATATATTTTAAAAAAAGGTCCACGGGTCCTGAGGGAGGGCTGGCCGCGCCGGGAAGCCTGGGTCTCGGGCGGAGAGGAGCCGTGTCCGTGGGTGCGTGGAACACGCCATTCTCACGCCAGCATGTCTGTGACTGCCCCGTGTCCCGCACACCGCGGTGTCCGCCCTGGGAGGCTGCACACAGGACCCCGCGGAGCCGCGGCTGTGATTCCGGAAGGTTCTTTCCAGCCGCGGGGGGCGGGCCGCTCCTCCGGG